ATGACTGCTCAGAAAGGGAGAATTAGTCTTCTCCAGGGATGAGCCCTCTACTTGCTTTTCCAATATCAAGTAGTTATACTGAAAATCATGCATTTATAAGCGTCATACTAAAGAAAACTTCGCAAGTTGTAGTTATGTGTGAGTAGAAACACATACACACACACTCTCTCTCCCCACCTCCCTCTTTCTTTTCTTTCTCCCTCTTTCTCTTTTTTTCACTCAATCACACACACACACACACACACACACACACACACACACACACACGGGGGGGGGATAATGTAACAGCAATAATCAAAGCAAAAGAGGTCATGTATTTAAGAGGAAGGAAGGTGATAAGGGGAGGGGACATGGAAGGGATTGGAGGGAGAATGGAAGGGGAATGTAGCACAGATTCTAATTGGTCTAATTTAGATATTAGGAGGTGAAAGATATTAGGGGGTGAGAGCTAAGAGATCAGAGAAGCAGTGCAGCCAGCCTTTTACTTCTATCAATGCTCAGATCAAAGGGGCGATCCTGTCCTCAAACTGCCTCCTCAGACTGCTTTAGACTACAACTCAGACTGCATCCTGGGACAGCACTGAGCTCTTGTCTCCTCCTGCCTTGTATTCCTCTCTCTGCCCAGCCTCATCAGTCCTGTCTCCACCTACCTAGTGCTGGGAATAAAGGCATGAGATCCCAAGTTCTGGGATCATCTTTGTGTGAGCTCTGTTTCTCTTTTAGAAAGATTCAATCTTGTGTAGCCCAGGGTAGCCTTGAACTAATAGAGATTCTTCTGTTTCTATTTCCCTAGTACTGGGATTAAAGCTATGTGTTGCCACTGCCTGGTCTCTGGTAACTTAGCTCTGTACTCTGTTCTTCAGGCAAGCTTTATTTATTAAAACACAAACAAAATATCACTACCGGGGAAAACTGAATTGGTGTGGGATTTCCCTCTGTATGTTGTGATTACCATTGGTTAATAAAGAAACTGCTTTGAGCCTATAGCAGAGCTATAAGGGATCAGAGCTAGGTGGAAAAAACTAAACTCAATGCTGGGAAAAAGAAGGGCAGAGTCAGAGACAAGCCATGGAGCTCCTCCAGAGCTAGATGGGACAGTGATGTGGCAGGAACCCACAATAAACTGAATCCTGAAGAAAGGTAGCTGCATGTATTAGGGTTTGTTTTGTTTTAAAGCAGACTTACAAAAACATTCTAAAGTTATTAAATACATGGGAGTTCAGTATGGATTTATCTTATAGGTTCTTTTTACCACATTCCAGGGCTCACAGCCTCATCACAGCAACTACTGAGGCTTTGCTTGTGACATCTTTGCTTCATTTTCTCAACTACATGCAAAGTAATATGATTTTTTCAAACTATATAGGCAAGGGTACCCATTTCTGACGAACTCTGCTTTACCTATGGGAGAAAAAAAAAAGAGGTAATTCATATCTCATTGTGATATTTTAGTCAATAGATGAATGCAAGGATCAAGTTGAAAGAAAGGGAAAAAGGCAGAAGAGATGGAAAGGAAGGACAGAGAAAGAAAACATGGAGGGTATTGGAAGAACACTTATTTCCTGAGCATGAAGCCACTCTGAAGAGATCATGAGCTGCAAATTAAACAATTCTTCAGCAAGAATTTTGACAAGGAAATTTCATTAGGGATTTAAATCTCGATGGAAGCTCAAGTTGCTGCATTAAGATATGAAAATTGTGCAAATATTGTTCCTGAGAATGATGTTTGCCGCAGGTCATTGAGTTTCAGTCAATGAAATTTAGAGTGATAAATGTCCTGTTGAAAATAACTAGCAAGGAAAGGTTCCAGGAGAGGGAGAAAAGAGCCCATCAGTTGGAAGCTTAGGCCCTTAAGTCATTTGGAAGAGAAGTGAGACTTGGGTGTTAACTGGCTAGGTGACCTTGAGTTAGTGTGTTTTGCATCTCTGCAGTCTAATTTCCACATCCATAACATGTGAGCAATTTCCAATGCGCTCCCCACTAGTCTGTGATTGTGAAGATTTAATGAAATAATTCAGTTAAAGCCCTTTGGCACAGTTCCTAGCATGCAGAACATTGAACTGCAGACTCATAATGGTAACAATGAAGATAAGGGAGTGGGCTAGAAATCTACTCGGCGATGGTTTTCTCCATCTCTATGTTATACCAAAATCTCCCATGATGGCTTTACTCAGATGAAAATTATGAGACTTAGAAACTGAATACATGTGCCATGGTGTATATGGGTAAGCAGAAGTTTTACCTAATAAATTTCAGTGTTTTTGTGCAAACATATTATTTTTCCTCATTGGTTGGAGGGTTCTCAGAGTTAAAATCCCATTGTATGGACATAATTTGGTGGATTAACAACTTTGTAGTTACCCAGAAAAGGCTGGGGGAATGAATTAATGATCTCAGAAATAAATGCATACATGGATGAATATTTAAAATAATATATGACTCATGGTCTTATCTACAGATTCTTTCTTTCTTTTTTTTTTTTTTTTTTTGGTTTTTCAAGACAAGGTTTCACTGTGTAGGTTTGGAGCTTGTCTTGGAAATAGCTCTTGTAGACCAGGCCTGCCTCTGCTTCCCAAGTGCTGGGATTAAAGGCCTGTGCCACCACCGCCTGGCACATCTATAGATTTTTAATGTGTGAAAATCCCTAATTTTGATTTCAAGAAATTCTAACATTTTGACTCTTATAGACATATACATTTTTACAGAAACATTTAGTAACAGGAAAATGAGTTTATGTAATTCCATAACCCCAAAATCCCTTGAGCAGAGCGCCGTATTTATCTTCTAGCCATATATCTCAGAATGTTCATTTCTGTTTCCTGGTGTCATATGACAGAAACATTTCAGACATTTGCCAATCTGGAGGAAAACAAGGTATGAGATGTTTCAACGAGAAGCCTGTTGAGAGTTATGCCTAGGATTTCCTTTCCCACTGCTGCTGCATGAAATAATGATGTGAACTTTAATCTCAGCCATGAAGACTCACATAGGGATTTTTTTTTCTCTGAGAAACACATAGTCACTAATGTGGGTCACATACTTTCAACATCTGCACTGAACTGAAATTCACCTTGGCAACTTGAAAGTGTCTGTCATTATCCTCATTGAATTAAATTTCTGAGTCCATTTGGTCACAAAATTTGCTTGGGTGCTTTAAAGAGAAATTATTTTAACTTCTTTGTATCATATACAAGGCCTTGTCTAGAATTCTGCACTTGATAAATATTTTAAAGCTACATATAAAGTTCTGCATTTTTGGAAGAGAAGCTGGTGAGACAGTGGTGGCTATCACTCTCTGAGATAGCCATCAATGAGATAACTTAGTGAGGAAAGGCTCTTGCCACAATGCCTGACCACCCAACTTCACTCAGCAGGGCTAACATGGTCTAATTGACTTCCTTAGGTTTTCTTCTGCCCTCCAGAGGTGCACCGTGGTATAGCATGCATGTGTGTACAGGAATACATGCATGTGCATGTATGTAAACACACACATACACAGAAGAAAACATATATACTTAATTTGGGAAAATGTATTAAAAAGAAGGAAAGGAGAAAAGTAGGTGAGAAAATGAGAATACAGAAAGAGAGAAAGAATGAAGAATGAAATACAAGCTAGACACTTAGGAAAACAGCTTTGTGTGGGGCGGAGAAAACAAATTGCCAAGCTCATCTTTTATGTAAGCTTACCAATGCTCCAAATGTATGTATGTATCCAAGACCAACAAAAGAGCTTTAGACACCAAAAAGCTTCAGCTCAACAAGTCGCCACAACTATAAAATGAAGGAAATACAGACAGACCCCTAACACCATGATCTTTTGATTAGTTCTAGAGAATAGCACTTCACATTTCATAGAAGAGAGATCTGGACTGGTCTCTAGCCTCTTAGCAACCTTTATACTCATCAAGGGGAGGTAAGTTTGCAAAGAATGACAAGGTGAATTCCTTGCCAAGATAAAACTCATTTAAGTGAAATTAAAGAAACAACTTCCTTTCTTTAAATAAGTTTCTATTTAGCCAGACAATTTGGCTAGAAATTTATGGGACAGTTGATACATACAATGCAAAAAGATATTGAACACAGCCAGACATGTTCTTTGTGTTCTAAAACACAGGTGGACTGAGAAGCTAGCTATAGTCAATACAGAATCCTTTCTACAATCTCCATGATTTGTGTTAGATATATAAAACCATAATATTGCTATTACAGTTTAGAAAGGCATGCCATTATCCTCATTGAACTAAATTTTTGAGTCCATCAAAATCTTTCTTTAGTGATGATTCAATTGTAACAGGCGTGGAAAGAGCAAAATAATCACCACAGCCAAAGTAAAATCTTTACTTTTAGCCAAAACTGGTCATTTTCACAAAGAAATTTACCTTCAAATTCATATACCAACTGAAACTAATAACCAACAGTACTTGAGGTTATAAAAATTGGCCTTCTTTCATGGATTCAAAATAATAATTTTGTTAGTATTATAATCCCTGATATGAAAATAGTGTGTTCAGACAGGAGCTAAGTTTTTACAGTTTGTTTCAAAACATCTTAAGTAATTTCATTACACATATTTTCTTCTTTCAGTAAGGTAAATGTTAATAAGTTCACAATTATCACAAATTACCAGACAAAGTCTCAGAAGCAATATGAAAATGCAGTTTCATAACATTCTTTAGAGAAATGATGAGCTTTTTTTCTCTGTAGCCTTCTTTGTGCAACGGAGTGATATTAGGAGCCAGCTTGGGTCCTAAGACAGGCGGTTGCCTGCAGTTGGTTCTCAGCAGAGCTGCAGGCTGGCTTTAAGGTAAAGGCTAAATCTCACATGGGAGAGGAACTAGACTGAGTTAATCCCGGTTGTGCTTTGAGCATGGACAACTCCCTACTTTCTAACAGCAGGGTTTAGAGACACAGAAGTGAAACATAATCTTCAGCGGGAGACCTTCACTCAGGCAAGACCACCTACAACATCCCATTACAGAGAAGAAAAAGGTTTGACCTACTTGGATCCGACAAGATGGAGTCTGTTTTCGGCAGAAATTGATCACAACGGACTCCTTGGTAGCCTTCCTTGCACCTGAGAAAAGGGGATAAATGACAAATGTATGCATGTGGTTGAGAAAGACTTGAGACGTCATCAAGCAGACTTAACACTGACAGTGAAGGGAGAACAGTCTACTTAGTCTTCCGAATTTGACTCAGCCTGTTTCCAACATCCATGGGCAGATTCTAGATTCCAATTTTGCTCAATACAAACAAATACACAAAAACACCCAGAGGAACACAGATCTACAGTTATAGCTGTAAATGCCACACTCAAAGAACAAATGCACCAACATCTCAGATGCCTCTCTCAGCAGTGTGGATGTGGACCAGGTGCACGCTGTGTTATTCAGTACCCTGGGATTTAAATGCATTCAGACACATTTTGCAAGCCTCGAGTTTCTTACAGCACACATTTTATAGCATTATACATCAGTTACAGACTTAGGTTTTCTGTATTGTTTCCTTGTACTTTCTTGGTTTTCTTCCTGGCTGATTTCACTTTTTTGAATTTGGTCCTCTTTCTGTCAGTCACTTCCTCGTCAGAAATATCAACATAGCACCTGGCAGGATCTGAGGGTCACCTACGTTTGCTGTTTGTTCCTTTATATTTAGAAAACATATACAAAGGCAACTGTCTTGAGTGAGTACATTGCTGAACTAGGCACACTCTGGAAGCTTTAGTAATGAGGCACATCCAATCCCTGAGTCCCACTTGCTATGCTTGGCTCAATCAATTATGCCTGCTTGACCAGCTCAGACAACTGCAACACATCTGCAGCCGGTTCAAACTACAAATGTAACTAAGGCCCCACACACGGTCTGGGTAGAGTCTCTTTACGTGGGAAGGTAGTATTTGCTGGTCTTGGTGAGGCCTTAATCCGTCATGCTTGAACAAAGCAGAGAAGTCACCATTGTCACCTGAGGGATTCTCTCCTACTTACAGAGGGGAAAAAATGGGGCTGCTGACATGAAACTCAGGTTTGAAAAACAACCATCTGCTTGTTAGAAATCTACGAAATTGACACAGTATTCAAAGAGACGGTCCCACAGGCCCTAGCAAGAAGAGCTGTGAGTTCTTCACATGGAGTAGGCTTTGCTTCCTGAGGTGAGGCTTACTGTAACAGGGGTCGCAACACTGAAGGCCCACAGGCTATTTTCTACCTTTCATTTTGAGCTAAGTTGGAATGCCATGCTCTCTTCAACACCTTTTTAAAACATGGCACCTCCAGATATATTTGGTGATTGTCCCCTCATAGTCTAAAAATACAGATTCCTACTATGTGTGTACAGATAGCCCAGAAATTGCAGATGCTTACGAATTTATTTGTGCAAAGCCCTTCTTCACCTCTTTAAAGACAAAATATCTATTGTGCGTGAAATAAAATATGCGAAATAAATTTTCTAACGGTAAACATTTGGCCAGAGGATACTTAGGACTGAAACATATTTGTGACAAATGAGATAAGGTTCTGTTTCCTGAAAGCTGCCCTGATGCTGCTCTTCATCCTCATCTAGAACTCTCCATGCCACGGAGCAGAGCTTCAGTCCTCATTCTCCGTGACTGTGAATCATGTCCTGCACGTGTGATCAGGCACATACCCTTTCTAAAGGTGTCATTTCCAGTCCATGCAGGTCTTAAGTACCCTTTAACTGCTCCTATGTTTATTTCATGTGAAAACAGCATCCTGGGAGGAGGGGAGGGAGCTTTGCAATGGAAATACTGTTTCTGTTTTGTTTGTTTGCTTTGCTTTATACAGGTTCATTGTTACTTAAAACATATTATTCCACTTGTGTGTGGAAAACAAAATAAAAAGACAAGTGTGAAATTTTTCCAATCGTATATGAATTGACCATCATTCAGAGCCCACCTTAGAGTGTTGGGCCTGGCGGTGGGGCGTTAGGAAAATTGTAAAGTGAGTCTTTTCCAGGTGCCTTCACACCTGCGGGCTTCAGATAATAGAGCTAAATGGTGGTGTAGCAGCCTTGCTCAGGCTAGGGAGCCCAGCACATGCCTCAAAACAGCCACTTATGCAGCCACGCAGCAAGCGCTGCTCTGTTGGGAGAGATGAGCAAGCCACTGCTAATTGGTTCGAGGGTTTGAAAAACAACACATAAATTTCTCATTTAAAAATCACACATACTTTACCTTGTTAAGTTCAGACTTAGCCAAACATGAAGATGGACTATTACCACAGACTGCTGATGAGTTGGTTCTGTGACCGTATTGAAGTGTGTGGGGGAGGGGGGGAGGGGAGCATGTCTTCAAATGCATTTCTATCGCACGAGTCAGTCCAATGGACCTTTTCTTGGGGTGATAACTGACAATACTGTGTGGTTTGCTTCTGTTTCAGTTAGTTTGAAAGATGGCAGGAGTTATTGTTTTCTTTTTGGAAAACACAGTGTAAAGTACAAGAGGGAGATTTATACCCCAGAATATTGATTTCATCTTATGTGTGGTGTAATGAATGGCATAGAAGAGTGCATGCATAATGTTTAACGGTAAATATGGCTTTCTTTAAAAAAAAAAAAGTACAAATCTTGTCTTAGCTGGCTTAAGAATCTGTTTACTTTGCTCTCTGCTTTTATCTGAAAGTCACTCCGTTCACCTATTCTCTGCATTCCTTTGTCTTTTAGAAACCTGCATCATAGCCACAATATTAAAAAAAACACAATATTGTTCTGTCCTTTCACAAGCAAGTTTTGATTCTGCAAACTCAGGCAGGAAACAGCAAGGGTTGACAAAAGGTTTCATGAAGAAAATGAAAGAATTATTATCAACTATGAAATAACCACGAAACAAAGTTGGTTTGCAAGAGCTGAGACATTTTCCTCTAGGCAAAATTAGCCTCAAATTCCCTGTGTTTACTTTGAGCCGAAGGGGTTGTGTCCTTAGAAAACTAACTTCTTAAGTCGCATTGTGCTTTATTTCCCAGAACAAAAAGTCAGAAGCAGGAGGAACACGAGGTGACATTTGAAGCCAAGTAGGGCATGAACTATGATTGTTCCACTGACAATGGTGGACACGGAGTGAGAAGAGGGATGAGGAATCCCCAGTCCTGGCTGCCAAGTCTAGCCAATAGTGAGCCTAACTACCATGTTACACTCATGTTCCCAGAGGGCAAGACTGTTTAACTTCAAATGGACATGACTGTTCTTCCTCATGTCTTCTCAGATTTGCCTTATCCTCCTTCCCACATGTCCATTTTATCTGAAATAACTGGCATCCTTATGGATCATTTTTCTCTTCTTTTCATTACCCCTGAGGAAAAGCCCAGTGGCTGGTTCTAGGGGGGGAAAGATAATCAGTAGCCAAAGGAAGAGCCATAGATACCAGCTATTATCTTTGGCTAGAGTTCAGTACTTGCTTTGTGTGGCATAGTGAAACAGAAATGATCAGTATATCAAGACTGCATATGGAAGGACCTGAAAAAAAGGACTTTAAAATAGTCCAGTTGGCACTCTTTAAATGTCTCTTGACCGTATAGGCAGAACAGTGAATTGCAATGAGCGTAGAGATTCCTATTTATTGAAGAGGCCAAGGAATATGTGATGGTACAGTGCTCAGTCCTAAATGGGATATGGATAATATGCCGTCTAAGTCTTAAGGAACAATTCAGAAACAGGAGCAGAAAGAATGAGAACAAGAAGATAAGGAGAAGGGTAGTGGAGCATGACACAGACAATTCAAAATGTTCTCAGAGCAGATGCTACTCCCTGCATTGGGCCAGAACAAGACTGGCTCTGGCACCAGCCAATAATGGATCAGGGAAGGGATCTCCAAGCCGCTCCCTCCCTGATGAACTATTGGCTATCAATACTCTCATGAGGAGTAGCAGTAACCAGCTTCAATTCTATAACCAAAGGTACACCATTTGGCTCTAATGATTAGATTCAAATCCATGGTCACAGTACTGGTACTGATAATAATCCATAGGTCATAAAGCAAAGAGACACATGAATGTTTTGGAGGTTGAAGGGTGGATAACAGGTGTGGGAGGGAGATAAAAAAGAGTAGTGGGTAGAAATAACCAGAATGCAGTATATATATATATATATATATATATATATATATATATATATATATCATAGAACAAATTTAATTGATAAAAATGCAGTTTGGCCATGTGTTTATGTTCATCAGGAGCTGTCATCTTTGCTTGGCTTAGTGAAATTCTTGCAGCCAACAACCCAAGTACTAACATCATTTCACCTCTTTCTTATAGTTCTCCTGCAACAGTTTACCTGTTTAAGTCAATGATTTTTGTAAATTATTGTGGATAAAGCTGAATAATCCACAGGTGTCATTGAAAGGTATCTAATGTTTCCAGACTTTTACTTTTAACATCTTGATAGAATAGTTTAATTTAACATAAAATATCAGTTATGTGAAATACATTTTGACTTTTTCTTCCTCCTTAATTTTCTCATTTCTTAGTGGAAGGTGTTACTGCTCACTTGACCTGCTCTCTCAATGTTCTCTGTCTTCTTGCTCAGATATGACTTGATTACATTCACAGATGATCTATCCAGCACATGGTCTTCACAACCCATCTTCCTCATTCACATCACAATTAGTAAAAACATCGGTTTCTATCCTGATGTTTAACTTAGTCTTCGTGTGTGTGTGTGTGTGTGTGTGTGTGTGTGTGTGTGTGTGTGTTTATTTCAAGAGAGGTTTTCTCTATGTAACATTCTTGGCTGTCCTGGAACTCTCTTTGTAGACCAGGTTAGCTTTGATCTCACAGAGGTCTGTCTGCCTCTGCCTCCTACAGCAGTACTGGTGGACAGAGAGAACAGGAAAGCCAGCTCTCCAGTTGGAAGCCATTTAGCCAGACAAGGAGGAAGCAGGAAAGCAGGATGGACAGTCAATCTTAGATGAAATAGCAAGCCTCGGGGCAACACATAGATTATTAGAAATGGATTGGGAGAAAAAAAACTAACTAGAAACAACCTAAGCTAAGTCCAAGCATTGATAACTAATAATAAATCTCTGTGTCATGATTTGGCGCTTGTGGTCCAAGAAAGCCTGCT